TATAAGTATCAAATGTTCCTGCAATTTCACTCCAACAACCAAAAGCCCATAGAGAGAGAGAGAGAGAGAGGAAGAGTCATTTTCCATGTAGAAGCCCAGTTCTGTCAAACACTCTCTTTCTCACAGTCCAAGCTCTTTGAAACAAGAATCTCATGTGGAGGCAAAGCCAAGCAAACACCAAACCAAACATTGAATACGTTAATATATTGTATTACATATATATATATATATAATCTATATATAATTAAATTTGAAACCTCGAATGAAAAAGTGAACACTCATTGAATGCTTTATTATTTTGTTATCTTTTATAATTATAATTATAATTTTGTTCTCTCATCTCCCTCAACTTCCCTCCTTCAAAACAAAGCCAAACCCCCAAAACCAGAAAAGCAAACACGACCAGTCCCATGTCTCTGTCTCTTTAACAACCCTCTCCTCATATATCTCTCAACATGTATAATAATACTATAGCCCAAAAACTAAGCAAGGTTAGGTAACAGATAGCTACCTTAACACCCCCTCCCCCCCCCATCAAAACCCTTCCTTTTACACGACATTGCTTCTTGCAATTCTACTCTGTCCTTGTTTGCCTGATCAGACTGGAATTTGCCATTTCTCACCCAAAAATTACAACATTTTGGGTGTCCTGAGCAAAACAACAAAAATGCAGCTTCACATATCACCCAGCCTGAGGCATGTCACAGTGTTTCCGGGGAAAGAAGTGAGGGAGTTCATCAAGGTGAAAGTCGGGTCGAGGCGGCTTTCGTACCGGATGCTCTTCTACTCCATTCTGTTCTTCACTTTTCTTCTCAGGTTTGTGTTTGTGATGACTGTTGTGGATACCATTGACGGAGAAAGCAAGTGCTCTTCAATAGGTATGTGCATGTACATTCAAACCTAATATTATTCTAGCAACTTTGGTTTCAGGGTTTCCGATTACCAACCTAAATAATTTATTAGCGAATTCGTGTTTAAATGTGCAGTTCATATTTAGAATTTAACAACATAACATGTCGAAATTAAATACAATCTTGTAGATAAGAAAATAGTTCCTATACAAAAGGTAAAGAACAAAGTACATAGTTAAGATATACATGGGAGACTTATCATGGGGTGTTCAAAGTACTTTGTTATTATCTAGGTTTCATGTACAAGGATGTCATTTTCTGTCTTGAAAAAATCAATTGCAGGCAAATAATAATACAATAATAAACTTTGGTGATCGACAATTGGCTTGTTTAATTTATTAAGTCTTTGGCAACAAACAATGATCTGCTGGGGAAAAATTATTCGGATAACAAAGATTCTAATCACTATATCAACAAGAGGAACTTATAACATTTACCTTTTTATTTTCTTTTAGAGATATTTGGAGTATTAGTTTTTTAATTTTAGTTTAATTGGAGCTTCAGTTTCTAAAATTAAAAGTTATGAGTATTGGTTCTTAAACTAGTTAAAGCCTAAATCAATAGTCTTTTAAGTAACTACGTTACAATTTTCGTAAAAAAGAAAAGAAAAGGATTAACGTAGAAAATAAGGGATCAAAATTCTAAAAAAATTATCCAGAAAAAAAAAATCATTACTTAAAGATGTGACAAGTGTCAAGCTCCAATTAGTATAAAGTTTCAAGAACAATCCTACAATTTTCTCTTGCTTTTGGTCATGTGCTACCCAATCTACTGAACTATGCCAAATTAATTAAAAGTAGGAAGTTTTACTTATAGAAACAAAAATACAAAATACATTTCATAGAACTCCATTAGTTTTGAATTATTTTCAGGAGATAAAATCTCAAACCTCAACAAATCTAGCCAAAAAATAAGCAAATCAAAATATTAAAATTTCATGACATCACCTATCACATAGATATTGCTCCTCTCTAAAATAATAATAAAATTAAAAAAAAAACTAGTGTTTCTCGAAAATATAGTCCTATAATTTGTATATACGAGTAATTGTACCTTAAAAGTATCTCTAATTATTTTAAATGGTACTGTTATATGCAAAGGCTCAAAGCTCCATTCAGGATATGATAAATGTGCTTCTTGCAACTGTTGTCTCTGCAGCATAATAATCTATCCCAACACTAATTTTCATTTTTTTAACCCATAAATTCCGAGCCATCAGATAAATAGCAGAAGACAGCAACCTGCACTCCCTTTTATTTTATTTTATTTTCTTTATAATTAGGTATATCCTCAGTAATTTTCTCATTAAGTTTTGTTGAACAACTGAAAATTTCATATGATCTTGATAGTCAAGTAAATATGTGGAATGACAGACATGAATCTCATTTTCTTTATATACAAAAATTAATATAATCTCTTATTATATTTATTTATTTTTAAATAAATGTTTAAAGCTAACTTGGTTGATCGACGTAGGCTTGCTCCTCTTATTTTAATTTTTCTCCTCTTATTTAATTTTTCTTAAAATTACAAATTCTTATTTGTTTTGAAGTGTCTTATCTCTGTATTTTATTACAATAATAATGATTTGAAGCCATCCCACTCTGGCTGTAGGCTTGATCTTTTAAAAATGTTAATTTTCTTCATCATTTCACTTTTTTTTTTTCAATATTATTAACTAGTTAGTACTTGAACGGTCGTGTACAATTTTTTTTTTAATTAAACACATTAATTGGATAAGAGATCTCTCATTTACAAGTGAAGAACAACATCAATAGACTGTAATATTAAGTGGTAATTAAACACATTATTATTTATATTTATTTTGTAAGTCATAATTTTTGTTCTAATGATTAGGTTGCTTGGGGAAAAGACTAGGACCAAAGATTTTGGGAAGAACAGAATCAAGGGTAATTTCGTAATCCCAACTTCTGGTTGAAGAGATATTGTTTAATTACTTGATTTTATTTTTGTCTGTAACAATGTAATTAATTTCTGAAAGGTCCCAGAAGTAATATACCAAATATTAGAAGAACCCATCGGCAAGCATGAATTACAAGGAAGATCTGATATTCCTCAAACCTTAGACGAATTTATGGTTGAAATAAAGGACGGAAAATCAGACACAACGACCTTTGCTGTCAAGCTCCGAGAAATGGTACTTCTTTTCTCAATATTTTGGTTTTCCGAAAAGTAATCAATAACACGTATATGTAATTGGCAATAAAAATCTGATAACTCTAGGGTCGCCAAATTCCGACCAAATGATGTCTCATGTACTTAGTGCAAGAGTATCTTGAGTTAATAAGACAGTGCAAAATTTTCAGGTCACACTTCTTGAGCAAAGAACCCGAAATGCCAAAATCCAAGAGTATTTCTACCGGCATGTAGCGTCAAGCAGCATACCTAAACAGCTTCACTGCCTAGCCCTGAGGTTGGCCAACGAGCACGCCTCCAATGCAGCTGCTCGCCTGCAGCTCCCTTCTGCTGAGCTCGTCCCTGCCCTCGTTGACAACTCCTACTACCACTTTGTCCTTGCTTCCGACAATGTGCTTGCCGCCTCCGTTGTTGCCACGTCCCTTGTCCGTAACTCATTGCGCCCTCACAAAGTTGTCCTCCACATTATCACAGACAGGAAGACATATTACCCGATGCAAGCGTGGTTTTCTCTGCATTCGTTGTCACCTGCCATAATTGAGGTCAAGGCGTTGCACCATTTCGATTGGTTTACAAAGGGGAAGGTGCCAGTTTTGGAAGCAATGGAGAAAGACCAAAGGGTGAGGTCGCAGTTTAGAGGCGGGTCATCGGCCATTGTGAAGAATAATACTGAGAAGCCTAATGTTATTGCAGCAAAGCTGCAAGCACTTAGTCCCAAGTACAACTCACTGATGAATCATATCAGAATACATCTACCCGAGGTACCATGTTAACTATGGTTTAGTAGCGTTTACGACAGCTTATAATGCTTCTATAAGCTTATTTTGCCTACAATTTGTGCTAATCTACACTAAATTTCGATGCAGTTGTTTCCTGGTCTTGATAAGATAGTGTTCTTGGACGACGACATAGTAGTTCAAACTGATCTTTCACCGCTATGGGATATCGAAATGAACGGAAAGGTCAATGGAGCAGTTGAGACATGCAACGGAGAAGATAACTTTGTGATGTCAAAGCGGTATAGGAGTTATCTGAACTTCTCTCATCCTTTGATATCGAAGAATTTCGACCCCAATGCATGTGCCTGGGCTTATGGCATGAACATCTTCGACCTAGATGCTTGGAGAAAAACCAACATAAGCTTTACGTACCACCATTGGCTTGAACAGGTGAAAGAAGTTTCAACTTTATAGCTTTCAAATTTTCGCGAGAAGAATTTATCGAGATAATGCGTTACTATCTTCTAAATCATCCCATCTTATGATTCGTATCTTTATGCAGAACTTGAAATCAGACCTGAGCCTTTGGCAGCTAGGAACGTTGCCCCCCGGCCTAATAGCATTCCACGGTCATGTCCAAGTTATTGATCCGTTCTGGCACATGTTGGGACTGGGATATCAGGAAAACACAAGTTCCGCTGATGTAAAGAGTGCTGGCGTCATCCATTACAACGGGAGAGCAAAGCCCTGGCTAGAAATTGCATTTCCAAAACTTCGGCCATTTTGGGCGAAATATGTCGATTTCTCAGATAAATTCATCAAGAGCTGTCATATCATGGCAACCTAAGTTGGGTTTTCAGAGGAATATGTCGAAAATGTTGATGATAAAGAGTGCATTGTATATGAGGCAAAGGAAAACGAGAGAGAGTTCTTCCCCAATTCACGGCGTTCAATACTTCTTAATGCAAGATGAAAAAACAGCACCGGGCATCTGATCAGCAGGACTCTCTTCCCTCAGTGCACATTCCTTCACCTATCACCCTGTATTCCTCTTTCCTTTTTCCCCATACGCTGTGATTAGAACTTCCGGTCATAAAGTCTTGTTTAACAACAAGATGTTAGATGTAGAAAATGCAATAAAATGCAAGACAACGTACTTCTAAGACTCAATGAGAACTGCGACCTGACAAATGATAGGATACACGAGACAACGAGAGGGAAATTTGACAGTCCATAAGACAATAATGAGATGTTGGATTTCTTGACAACATCGAGAGATCAGATCCTTATAACTACATCGAACTGTGAATTGCTTGACTACGTAAAACAAGCTCTTTAAAAGAAAAGCATGGTCGAAGGGAGGAGAGCGTCATGATTCGGTTTTACCTTGTAAGCAACAAAAAACGTGACGCGAGCTCAGCACATGTAACAGACACACAAGTGAGTAAACTTACTCAGACAATTCAACAAACACCTTCTACACCTTCAAAACTTATCAATCGGAGATTATACAAAACAGTCATTGGAGAAAACTTACTTCTTTCCGGTCACATTCGACACCAAATCCCTGAAAAACTTCACTGATTTCGTCACGGGCGAATTAATGGCCATCAGATTATACAAAACGTTCTCAACTTCACCGATTGAAGGCCGCGATTTAAACGTCGAAACCATCTTCAATTCCCCTCCTTCTCCTTCAACAAAAACAGCCCATTTCTCACCACTCACAACCCCATCTCTCACGCACTTGAAAACCACTCCACTCCTGCTGCTCAAAAGCCCCTTCACCTCCAAACCCATGAACGAAAAAATCACCTCAAACGAATCCACGAACCCGCCGAGCTCGCCCAACTCCGCCTCCTCCTCGAACGCCCACCTGGGGTTGAAAATCACCACCGGCCTCGGGAACAGCAAATCAGTAACCGTTTTTATAACCGCCAGTTGGGTTCCCTCTGGCGCCAAAAACACCGCCACGTCAGCAGAATTCAAATTTCCGGTATCACCGTTGGCGATGGAGGAAATGTCCGAATGCTCAACCGGGCTCGAAGGGGAAGCCCCAAAGGCTTTCACTGCGGCTTCTGCGAAGGCAGCGTTTGACCATATGATCAAGACGTTGACTTTGGAGGATCTTCGTTTGATGGGAAGGTCTTGGAAGAGCTGGAGGGCGAGGTTGGAGAGGGATTCCGGGGAGTCGTCGGCGACGGGGATTTCGAGTCGGAATCGGGGTTGTTTAGGCTTCTTGAGCTTGGTGGTGAGGCGGAGGTTGTTGAGGGGCTTGGAGAGGGTGGCGGAGAGGCAGGTCTTGGCCTGTTGGATGGCGGCTTCTTTGGAGGTTGGTGGGGTGGGGGAGGAGGATAAGGAGGAGCAGAGTGGGGATAGGCGGGTAATTTTGGGTTTGTGGTGGAGGGTTGAGGGGAAGAAGATGTGAGAGTTTTGGTGGTGTATGGGAAATGGGAATGGGTGGGTTGGTAGTAGTGGGTTTGGGGTTTGGATGGTTTGTGTGTGGATTTTGAGAAGGTGGGAAGCCATTTGCGTTTTGACAGAGTAGGGGAAGAAAGCTGAAAGAGAAATAGGTACTTTGCCAGAAGCACTTCAAGATAAGGTTGTAAAAGCACTTCCACCTTTTGTTAACTTCTAACTTTTTTCTGCGATGGTTTGTTAATTCACCTTTCTAGTTTCTACCACAGCTGTAATATGATTTCTAATTCCTAGTTTTCTTGGAGAACTTCGATGTAACTGAATGCCAAATCAACGGTATTTCATATCAATTATACATTGTTATGTCAAAGTTACATGATAACGTGTAATCAATTTGTGATGCTACCATCGTCGCACCATCAGTGAAAGTAGCTCTTTATTTGGAGACGAGCAATGCAACTCTTATCTACATAGGAGCTCCGCTAGTGGGCATACAAACTACGAAAATTGGGATGGAGCCGTCCGAAGAGAAGCCCATCTTTTGAGAGCAAGTTACATGAAATAGATTCAACACCACGTACTATCACGATTTCTGTATTACTGGACCAAGACGCCACAATAGCAGTGAATCCGTTCCATACAGGTCCTCATCCAATCCCTGAGTCGATGCATAACATCATGCGCATCCTAATTTATACTGTGCTTGGTGCTGGAAAATTATACAAGGTAAACCCATTTTGCAGATCCACATAACTATTATACCTAAAAATTGGTAACGAGAAGTTGCCAGAATAACTTATTAGTTCATACGATTTACATGTAAATATTACCAGCATAGTACATAAAAAGTACCCAGGTTTCGTTTTGCAATTGCAGTTGCAAATACAGTCAAGTCACCCACCAAATTCAGTTAGTAGACAGTTAAACAAAAGTACACGACCGATGACTTGATAATACACTAGTTTGGGACAATGTTATCCCAAATCACCCCAATCAATTTTAGACGTTACCGACTTAAGCAACCGGTGGGCGGAGTACATGATCCTGCGAAGTATCCACCGCGGCAGGTGGCAAGAACTGCCACATGGCAACCCCAGGGTAGCCAATGAAAGGCACCATCTTGTTTCCGCGAGCTTGGCCTTGAGCAGTAAATGCAGCAGGAATTGCAGGAGGGGGAGGTAAAAAGCCGGGCTGGACATTCATGGATTTAAGTTGCTGTTCCAACTTCTCTTTCTCCAATTTCAGCCTCAGTTTCTCATCGCGAAGTTCATTCTTCTCTGCCTGCACAAGGGAAAAAAAGGTTTTGCACATTGTCACATCAGCAGTTTTTTTTATGTAAGCCGGTAAGTCCTATCAACTGATAACACAAAGGCTTACCTTCAATTCCTTGATCTTCTCCTGGAGGCCTGAATTTGTGTCCTTCAACTTTTGGGCTTCACCACGTAATTGATTCACCATTCGTACAGCATCAACCAAAATAGCAGCCTTGTCCGTCTTGGGGGGCCTTCCAGGCTCCAAAATAGTGCCCAATTCCACAAACCTATTATTGGTACGTGTCAAGCGATAAGACAAGCCTGCCCCAAAAGAGGGGACAGAAGGGGAGACAAATAAACGGCAGAGAAGAAAAGAGAGTACTTGTCATTTAGCCTATCCCTTCGCAACTTCTCCCTGCATGCCTTGGAGCTTGTTCCACTGCATGATTCAGTTCTGACCCTGCGAGGAGAAAAATGCAACAGACAGAGGAAGACAGCTGGAATAAGATGAATTTGAAATGAACTTACTAGCTTTGATCAACTCAATTGTAATACTAAAATGTAACTTCCAGGCAGTGATTTTCAAGACATGATAATTTGTCAAGATATGACATGAGGTGTTTTAACACGAAATTGAAAGAAATTAATCATCAGCGATTGAAAAACCGTTCATAGATGATCCAGACAACACTAACAAATAAGCATGCTTATTAGTGATTGAAGAGCTGATTACAAAATTTCGTATAGAATCCTCGACAAGGCTGCTGTAACACAAATCTATAATCTCTTCCACAGCAGCACAGGCATTCAAAAAAAGGGTCAAACGTGAGAAGGTATAAAGCGCAGAACAGAGTCAATGAGAACAAATTTTTTTGAGGCGGTTACACATTCTGATTTCTTTGATGAGAAAAAGTCAAAGTTTGTACCTCTTTTTTGAGCCAGATTCCTTAAGTCCCTCTGCATCCCCCAATGACCCATCAAGTTCAACACTACAGAATAGATAAAGTCGTCATAGAATAATAAATGAGCAACCATAAACACAACCCAAACTAAAAATGAATGAACAATACAAACCCTTGCATAGGACAAAGTAAACATTACGCAATAGAAAAAAGATCATGATACAAACATTCAAAACATTTCTGAACTCTATCACCTCCAACTGACCAAAAAGTACATACAATTAAACCAAACCTTTCTGAGTTCATCAACATAATAGATGCTCAAATAACGAATCCACAATGTAAACCAAGCCTCTGAAGCCTTCTGTAAACAGTCGTTCAAAAAATGGTCCAGCAGTACATGTAAAGGTCATTGCTTAACTTTATACGGAAATGCAAGAATATACACGTATATGTGTACCACTTGTCATCAGGAACCCTCACTGCAAAAAGAACTCAATGTTACCCCTAAAGCACAAATCCCCACCACTGAAGTCATCTTTGTCTCTTGGTAGAAAATAACCGAGGACCCCCACAACTCCAACCAACACTAGTACTCAGCAAATGTAATCCGCTAAAGTTACAATTCATAGAAAAAAATTTCAAGTGATCGAAACAAACTGACATGTTATCTCTCTCACAGTAACTTCCAAGAAAACTTCAAGTTAGTGGACAAGTACTGTTCGTCCCACAAATGTCTCGCTCAAATCCTATAGCACAAGCAGTTGGTCAGTAAAGCTAGAGATCCCTAAATTGTTGGAGAAGTCACTTCTTTGTTCTTACAAAAGCTGCTTTTTCCTTCTATTCAGCCAAACACCCTAAAAACGTGGCTGTATCGGTTAAATTCCATATTTTTTTTTCCCACCAACATAGAACACAGTACAATCTCAAGTCATTCAATCAGTAACCAGCTTGAATCTAAGCCTCTCTCTACACACATTTCCCAGTCCTAACCAGACCCAATTAACCAAACACTCAAAACCATAAGAAAAACCCCAAACAACAGATTGGGAATAAGACAAAAAAAAAGTATCTTGAAATTAGCAAATTCCAGCCACTCAGTCCCAACCCATGAACCAAAAAGCACCCAATTGTTCAGAGATTATCCAGAAACCGAAAAAATAAAAGCAGAATTGAAAACCCACAAAAATACCCTAATTCGTCTCAGTCAGATTAATTGCACAAAGCAGGAATTAATCAATGATTAGTAAAAAAATTACAATTGATTAATAAAAAATTACAGAAAAATTGAAAGTACCTGACACTTGACGAACCGGCGATGGGCTGAACTGGCCAAGCGAAGTTCCCTCCCAGGACAGGAGTATCGTCAATGAGCCCGTAATCGAAGAGCCAGTTGGTGTTTTCCGGGGAGACCATCTTTGGAGGCTGCCGGAAAAAAAAATGTTGGTTTTCCGGCTGTGGACTAGTCTACCCTCGAAACCAAAACCGGGGGCGGAGAAGAATCTGTGTGCTGATGATGATGATGATGATGTGGGGATTGATGGCACAGCACAGGTGGAGTGGGTTGTGTGCTGGGTGTGTTTCGCCTTCGTCATTGAACCAGCATCTCACTCACGCTTCGTGCTGGGTGCTGGGTTTGGGCCTAGATAATAATGTCATGAGCTTGGGCTTGGGCTTATTTCATCATGCTTTTATTAGTGTGTGTAAAATGAAGCGAAGTTTGAAACCCCAGCTAGGGCTGCAAAGTCCTCCATGCACACATAAAGATGAGTGATTTCCTTTAGAAGCTAGGGCAAAGAATTCCTATGAAGATAGAGCAAAGTTCTGTTCAAATCCCTCCTTGTAGACAAGTTCGAATCCCTCCTCGTAGACAAATTTGAATCCCCCATTGTAGTTCAGTTATATTAAGTAATGAATATCACTGTATCAAGAAAAGTATACTCTATTATGACTCAAATATGGTCTGAACTTCCAATTGATATGTTAAACAAAGTAGCTGAACATCTCTCACATCTTGATCTTTGTCACATTTCTGCGGTGTGCAGGAGTTGGCGAGGTGTTCCGGAATGGGTTCAACTGAGTGCAAACAGGCAATCATCACCATGCCTACATAGTGTGTCACCTTGGAGCAAGAAGGTCGATGGTAAAACCGTGAAGGCGTTAGAGCTCTTTGATCTGTCATCCAACTTATATATTGGAAGCACGCATCTGACAGGAGAAGAAGGGGAGGGTGTAAAAATGGCGAAGTGTATGTATGTAGAAAGAATCGATTTCCAACTGATTTGAACTATCATACATTTTACAATACTTTGAAAGCCTTATGAGCAGGCATACTTACACATAATAAGATCAAAACTTTACACCTATACTACATGAGGAGAAAGCTTTACACCGATGCCACATGCAGCAAAAGCACACATGCAGCAATATTAAAATGTTCTCCCTGCTGTCCAGGTGCAACAGCACAGCAACCACATGCAACCTTCCTTTCCAGAAGTTAATGTCCTCCCTTTATGGCAATGATGACTATAGTTGTAATGATGGCAGGTACATATACCCATGCTTGCCCACTAAGAATCTGCACTGCATGTGGAGCATCAAATCATGGAGTGGATAAACAATTAATACAAGGATTTCAACACTCCCCCTCAAGTTGGAGCATGAATGTTTTGAATGCCCAACTTGCTGAGAAGAGAATGAAACGATGCCTTTCCTAGTGCTTTTGTAAATATGTCGGCCAACTGATGTTTTGAAGGTGTGAACCTTGTTGCAATCATTCCTGAATGTAACTTTTCTCGGACGAAGTGACAATCTAATTCGATATGTTTAGTTCGCTCGTGGAAAACTGGATTAGCTGCAATGTGTAGTGCTGCCTTATTGTCACAGTAAACATGAGCTGGAGCTGCATGGGAGACCTGTAAATCTTGTAACAGATAATGAAGCCACGTAAGTTCACAAGTGATTGCAGCCATTGATCTATATTCTGCCTCTGCAGACGATCGTGAAACCGTATGTTGTTTTTTAGT